AATTTATGTAAATGCCTTTGTTAATGATTTGACATGATAAGTTGATAACGATACAAATATGATAAATCTAAATAGAGTTAATATTCAATTTTATTTTATTTTTTTGGGAAAAAAGGAGGTTACCCAACTAACGCTAGTTGTTAACGTCAGCGGACACAACAGTCCCAGTGTTCGCGCATAGAATGTCGCAAACTTCCTTTAGAGGGTGGTGGAAATCCATCCAGTCGCAGTGCCGTCGAGGAGCTTCTCCGGCTAGCTAGTCCGCCGCAGCATTTTCTTCCCGGGGATGTGTTCCACGATAATTGACCAATCTTTCTTTATCCAATCCTTGCACCATTTGATTAAGGTACTGCAGTCACCAAGAATGGCATGTTGCTCATTTAGCCATTCAACCGCCTGTTTCGAATCGCTTAAAATGTGTACCTTCCTGTTGCCTTGATTCCAAGCCCACTTTAGACCCAAGTAGATCGCCCACAGTTCTGCCTCTGTTGCATTGTCAGTCCTCGTCATGCAACTAAAGCCCTTCATCCAGTTACCTTTATGGTCTTGCAACATTCCCCCGCAACCGGTCATATGGCTTGAAGGGGAGAAGGAAGCATCTGTGTTTAAGATAGTCCAGCCTGGCTCAATGTTACGTTTCTGCGCATCCGTCCCTTTGGGTATCTTCTGCCGAGCAAAGGCAGTAGTTACGGCTTCCACTTGCTCCTTGATCTAGCTGACTCTCTTTTCTAAGCTCCAGCTATCATCATTGAAAGTTTTATTGCAGCGCCACTTCCAGTTCCACCATGCAATTATCGCAAATTGCATTGGCCAATCACATTTTCTCCCGCCATTGGATTTACCTGTAACATTTCGAACAAGCCAAGTATCAAAATTCAAACAATAAAACCACTTTTTAGCCTCAGAGGTAGAAATACTTCCCATATATCCTTCGCAGCGTTGCAATCCCGTAGGCAGTGCAAGATATCCTCCTCTTGTGAGTGACAATTCCCACATCGTGCATCAGCCGTGAATCCCCTCCTTTTGCGCTCCACATTCGTCATTAATTTATTGTGCTTTAGGAGCCAGACAAAGGTGTTGATTTTCCTGGGTAACTTTAGTTTCCAGATTCTTCCCCACACGGGGTCACTAGCTCCAGTATTTGACTTGAGAGCAACATTGTACGCAGTGGCGACCGAGCAACAACCACTCGGTTCTAGCCTCCAATATATATTGTCGCTATCGTGGTTCATGTTCACTCCTTCGGAAAGAATAGGGTAGGCATCACAAACCCCTCTCCAAAGGTTTGAGCTTTTGGTTTTCTTTATAAAAACGCTATCCTCTGATTTGTTATGCATGTATTTACCCATAATGACTTTTACCCATAGATGTTGGCTTTCCGTGCGAATTCTTATTACCCCACCTTCGTTAGGAAAGCAATATTCATTTCCTTTAGTCTTCTAAGACCTATACCTCCTTGGTCCTTTGGTTTCGTGACGGCATCCCAGCTTACTAAATGCACACCACCCCTCTAGATGAACTGACGTATTCTCTTCTCAATAGCATCACAAACCCCTTTAGGGAGAAGCATAGATTGCATCATATAGTAAGGTGTGGCGTTTAGGACACTTTGGGCCAGAGTAATATGACCTGCCAGCGTCAAGTTTTTCCCTTTCCAGCCCTCCAAACGCCCATCGATCTTTTCAAGTAAGGGTGCAAAAATGCCTCGTGTCACTCTACCGTGGATCGACGGTACACCCAGGTACCGCCCCAGGTCTTCTATGTGAGTAAAGCCTGCTACATGCGTGATGGCTTGTGCCAGGCTAGGAGCAACGTTTTTCCCAAAGTAAATTTGGGACTTCTAGACACTAACTTTCTGGCCCGAAATATCCTCAAACTTCTGGAGGCAGTTTTTGATTACCTTCATTTGCTCTAAGGAGGCTTCTGCAATTAAAACGATATCGTCAGCGAAAAAAAGGTGAGTGAGCTCAGGACCATACCTTGAGAGTTTAATGCCCTTCCAGTTTTTGTCCTTTACTTCTTGTTTTATCATCTGGCTCAGACGTTCCATACAAAGCACAAACAAGTAAGGGGAGATTGGATCTCCTTGTCTGATGCCTCATGTGGGCGTGATCCAATCCAGTTGTGAGCCCTTCCAGAGGATAGCGAGCTTTGGAGTCCGAACACACTCCATGACAATGTCAATCCAATGTTTCTCTAATCCTAAGCCTTGGAGCGTGTCTTGCAAGAAGTCCCAAGAGAGCCTATCATAAGCTTTCTCTATATCAATCTTAAGGGTCATCGCTTTTGTTCCCCCTCTTTTTATCCTCATGGTATGGAGGAGTTCTTGGTACACTACAATGTTATCTGTGATCTGGCGATGTGGTACAAAGCTGCTTTGCTCCTCTCCCACTACTTGATTCATAATATCCTTCAATTTGTTCGTGATAATCTTGGTAACAATTTTGTACTTGACATTACAGAGACTAATAGGTCTGCAATGGGTGACAAACTCAGGGTATTGCACTTTTGGAATCAAAGCGAAAAGAGTGTCGTTCCAATCTCTTGGCAGTTTTGCCGTATGGAAAATTTCCAGGATAGTGTCGGTTAAATCTCCTTCAATCTCCTTCCAAGTTTTTTGGTAGAAGCCAGCATGGAATCGGTCTGGACCTGGTGCCTTGTAAGGGGCCATTTCGAAAACAGCTGCTTTTATTTCCTCCTTCGTGACATTCCTACACAAAATAGAGACATCAGTATGTTCAATCATTGTTAAGTTTGGGCATTCATACCTTGAATTTGCCGTTGTTGTTTCCCTCATGAAAAGGGCCCGAAAGTGTTCCGGTAACATTTTCATAATATGCTCCTCGTCAGATGTCCAGTTTCCACTGTTGTCCTTTAAACTTGACACAAGGTTTTTTGCTTTTTTGACCTTCATTATAACATGATAGTATTTTGTGTTGCGGTCCCCGAATGCAATCCACTCCTCTCGCGATCTTTGAAACCAGATAAGCTCCTCTTTATAAAGGATGTCATCCAACTCCGTCTTCAACTTGGCTTCTAGTTTTATTAGGCCTCCTTTCTTACCATAGTTCCTGGCTCTTTGGATACCATCAATCCTGGCAATGGTCTGTTTCCTTTTTTTCTCTAAGTCTCCAATCGCCACCTTACTCCACGTCTTTAAGCTCTCTCTCATAAGGTCCAGTTTTGAATCAAAATCAAGTCCAGTGTTGGTTGAAATCCTCCAAGTATTAGTAACAATCTTACCAAAGTCTTCATGCAAACCCAAAGCTGCTTGATACTGGAATCTCTTCGGCCTATTATTATTAGCCCGGTTTTCCAGATTTAGTAGGACAGGGTTGTGATTCGAGGTTAAGTTCGGTAAATGCGTTATGGTTGCGTTCGGGAACTTGTCAATCCAGGCTTCCGTACATAGGCATCTATCCACGCGAGCAGCTTTAAATGTTTCTACGGTGGTTCCACGTCTGTGAAATGCGAACCGCTAAAGCCTAGATCAATGAGATTCTCTCGGCTTATCCATTCTATAAACTCTCTACTTTGTCTTTCATTTAAACTCTCAGGGCAATTGACTTCTTCAGAGTTTGTAATTGAGTTGAAGTCTCCAATAGCAATCCAAGCTTCATCCAAACCACGCTGAGTTCTTCATAAATCCGCCCATAAGTGGCGTCGTAGATTATAGGGGGGGGGGGGGGGGGGGGGGGGGCTTGCATACACAACCGCAATGGACCACACCATATTCCTACTGTTTGTTATTTCCAAAGTAACGAACTGGGGGTTGGTGTTTAGAACATCCAGCTTAAGAGAGTTGTTCCAGAGGATCCATATGCCTCCGTTCATCCCCACAGTTCCTACGCGAAGCCATTGATCAAAGCCAAGTTTGATACACGTCTCGTCCGCCCCTATACCTGATGACTTGGGCTCAAGGACACAAAAACAATTAGGCTTATGTTGCCTAATGATTATTAGGGTAGCTCTAATAAATATCTTAGAAGCTGCACCTTGGCAATTCCAAGTTATAATCTTCATAGGAAGACACAACAGGGGCAACAAACACACAAAAAGCGCAAAAACAAACAACAAGCACGAGACAGAAAACCTAGGCAGCGACCTCTTCCGAGGTGCCACCACGGCCATTGTCCTCTGCACACTCATGCCATGGTTCTTCCTCCATTAGCTCATCATTGAGGTCGGGAGGATCACCATGGTGTTCCAGAATATCCTCCTCCATACTTGTCAGTTGAGGGGGGATATCAGCATTGTTTAAATAAGTGGTACTAACCGACGTTTTCTCCGATAAATTACCCCTTGCTACTGTATGTGTGTCTCCTGCAGCTGCTTGGTTGGTCTTGCTAGGCTTCTTGGAAGTGCTAGCTTCAGTTGAAGCTGCTGCATGGTTTTTCCGCGTAACTTGCATGGCCCCTGGACGCACATTTTTTCGTTTGCTATTTGTTTTACAGAGATTTGCACATTGGGTCTTCTCGCTTTTTCCTTATTTTTCCCTACTGATTTCCCGACTTTCCTTACTTGATTTTCGACTTGATTCCCCACATTAGATTCCTCAGTCGGTTCAATTGTTTCTTCCACATTATCCTCACTCAAAGCCGCAAACATAGATGTTGATCCAATTCCTTGATCTACTGCTTCTTTCCCTTTATTCTTTCCATATTGCGACCCCTTCTCTCCACTCATAGAGCCGTTAGGGCCTTTAGCTCCATCCCAATCCTTTCCTTTCTGATCTTTATTCTTTCCATTATTGGCGTGATTTTGCCTGTACGTTTTTTTGGGCGCAATCATCCACGTACCATATCTCTCCACGATTTCCGGTCTAATGATCACCAGTTGATCTCTTTTCTTATTTGGTTGCCGTCCATCGTTTCCCTGAGCACCGCCTGTTTCCGCCGTCGTGTGTCCTTCCTCCGCCGATTTCCGGGGACAGGCTTCTGCCGCATGGCCATAAAACCACAGTGGAAGCAAATTTGATACATTCCCTCATATTCTGTCCTTCAAACCTTCATCTTGGCTGTGAACTTGGAGAGGAGCAGTTTTGTGAGGTCGACTTCCACAAACATTCTCGCAAAACGCCCCTTTGATCCTACACTTGTGGCTTCATCAACATATTTCGCTTCACCGATTTTCCTTCCCAGTTTCATAAGGTAAGGGTAGTCGTAGTACTCCATCGGAAGATCGGGAAACCTCACCCAAACTAGAACACGTTCCGTCCTGGCCGACTTAGGGTCGAAATTTGGCTTCCAATCCTGGACGATTAAGTAGTGTTCCATTACCGACCATGGCCCTCCGTACTTAGCAAATTCATAGTCATCAGCAGACCAGAATCGAACCACATGGTAGATGTCATCCAGTGCCACCACTTCCATCCTCGATTTTGGCTTCCATATTGCATTGAGTCTTCTGGTTAGGTAGGTGTAACCCACTTTTCTACCTAAAACCTTGACTATTAAGGATTCGCGCCAAGGTTTTCTCATTCTGATCTTGTCTTCTCTCGTTAGGGGAATCTCTGGGCATTCTGGATCTTCATCTAGGTCTACTTCATCATCATCTGAGTCCAAATACTCTGGTTCCTTCTCAATGGGTGTTCCTCCTGCCAGCATGTCTCTGAAGGATACGGCCTTTGGTTTCTGCATGGATGGATCTGCCTGGTTGTTTTCCTAATCAAGCCCTTCAGTTGGATCTCTTCTTTCATATGTCTCAGTCCCAGGGACTTGATGCATCTCCGCTTCATTGAGTCCTAGTGTTGCATTCAAATGGTGGCTTTCGGGAGATGGCACTTGATCGTTTCCACCACTTGATTGCTCAATCCCTTCCATCACGACTTGTTCCTCTTCTAGCATCAGGGATTTACCGTTGGTTTTTGGTTTCTTTGTGCTTCTTTCCAGGAGATCCTGGACCTCCGCCGATCGTGTTGCCGTCGACAAGGCTCTTCCTCGGTTTTCCGGCGAGTTCAAGCTAGAGAGCATTTCTTTTTTTACTTTACATACGATCATTGATTATATAAGACACCCGATAATCCGCGTATATTTATTGCCTTTTTTTCTTTTTCTTTTTACAACATAGAGTTAATATTCAATTTAATTCTTGATTATAGTGATTTTTTATTTAGTCTTAAATATATATATTTTTGTGTGTTTAATTAGGTATTCGACTTTGATTATTTTATCTAATTGAGTTATTTGTTGTTAGAATCAATGACTAAATCGAGAAAATCACTTTAGTGAAGGACTAAATTAAGTAAAACCACTATAGTTGAAGACTAACTTGCGTAAACTACTAAATTAGATATTAATAGAGATGAAATTACCAAGCTATCTTAATAAATGATTCAATTGGGTAAAATAATCAAAGTCAAAGACTTGATTAAGCACAAAAGACGTTTATGACTAAACCGAGAAAATCACTATAATCGATGATTAAATTGAATATTAACTCAATCTAAATATGAACATGCATGACTTATTAATGTTAACATGTTAGAGTTTTAAACATTAAAATGGGCATAATTTTTAAATATATTGACATGATAAACACATTTAGTTAATTGATTTTGTGTCTACACGACACAATATAACACAATAACTCATTATACATGTTAATAAACATTTAAGAATAAAAATAAAAATAGAACTTTTGAAGAAATATGTATAAAATCTTCTATTAAATCCAACAAAGTAGAAAATATATCTGATTCATAAAATAAACAAATAATATATAAACATTATAACTAATAATGCTAATATTAATAAGTTAAATGTGTTTTTAATATGTTAAGTAAGTTGACCTGTTAACACACGACTTGAAGGAATTCTTAACGAGTCAATTAGTTATTGACACAGAATACATTAAAATTGAAGACCAACTCATTATTTTTAGAGTTAATACCATAAATGGTCATCTAACTATTTGACTAATACTTATTTTAGTGCTCGACTTTCGATTCGATCAAAAAACATATATCAACTTTTATTTTTTACCACAAATAGTCTTTCGTTAGTCTTCTGTTAAATGATGTTAAATTTAAGGTTGTAATCGTCAAATCAAAGCATACACTAGTGAAAACCCGTCATGATGTTTAGCGGTGAGTATCATGAGAGAAATTTTGACCTGGACCGCCGTCTCCAACCATTGATTAGCGTCTAGCGAGGTTGAATTGAAGATGGTGGGATTTTTGTCGATAAAGATAGCGATAAAATGTTTATTAAATGAAAGGAAACGCAACATCACTCCACTCACCGTTTAATGTTAAAACTAATGCAATCACTAATGGGCGGTGATGCAGAAACACGCTTCCATCTCCTCCTCAGCTCCTTCTTCTTCATGGCATTTAGGTAATTTATTTTAATTTTAATTTTAATTTGTACAGACATCTTTGTTGATATACAGTTTTCAACATTGTATCAACAAATCAGCTTAGTTTGGATGGACTTGCTGTTAACTATTTGATTTATTTAATCTTTGATTTGACGGTAATACTTTTAAATTTAACATTCACTTAACAAAAAGACTAACGAAGGATTATTTGTAGTAAAAAATAAAAGTCAAGGTATGTATTTTGGTCGAATTGGAAATCAATAACTAAAAGAAGTACTATCCCAACTGTCGGAAAACCATTTGCGGTATTAACTCTTATTTTTATGTCCAATTTTGTATTGTTTGGCCGTTGGGTACAAAATTGTCAATTTTACTGTGAATGTGTGTATTAAAAAAAATATAAAATTTTAAAATTATGAGCATCTTAATAGGAAAATTTTCAATAGTTTTTACACCATTTTTTTGTCATGTGGAAGTGAGAGAGAGGTTTGGGTTGCCCTGCAATAACATAATTTTTTGCGCGTTTCGCAGAAGAGAGAAACAACATAAGAGAGACACAATGCTACGCATTTGGGGCACATACAGTGCCCAGCCAGGTGCGTGCAGTGCATGCGCCGACTAGCGCACTAACTGCTTTGTTTTTTTCTTTTCCTTTTTATGTCAGATTTACTTTTTCATTTTTTCCTTCGTTTTTCTTTTTCTCTTTCCTACATGGCATGCAAAAATCAATGCAAAATTCAAACTAATGAGGATGGCAACCACACCAACACATTTTTGTTGATTTTTTGTGGAGCCCACTATGATATGGATGAAAGAGAAGAAGGAGAGAAAAGTAATTTTTTCCTCATGTAAGAAAAGAGTTTTTTGTGGGTCCCTAGGAGAGAGAAGAAGGAGATAAATGACCGCATGAGATCGCATGTTGTGTACAATATGCACTTAGCCGGGGCGTGCACTGTGCGTACCCGCCAACATGTTAAGAGACAATTTTTTTCATAACGCTTAGCGTGTCAAATTTTAACTTTTTTTTTTCCCTTTTTTTTCTTACATCCTCTCTCTCGTAAGTGTATCATAAAAACCGAGTTTTTTCCCAAAATGGTCCCTCGACTATCGCTCATTCTCAATTTTTCATTCTGACTTTCAATTGCACCCAATGTGGTCCCTTGACTTTTAAAAACTACCCCAAATTGGTCCTCCGTTAGATTTTGCGTCAACTTAGCGTTAAATGTGGGGGTATTTTCGTCCATTCACAACACTCGCGCATATTTCAAATGTTCTTTCAACCTAGCATTCCAGAAACGAATGTGAGCTACTTATTCAGCCAATTGACCTTACCTCTCTCTTTTTTGAAAACCATTACCTCTCTTCTCCCCCGCCGTTACTGCCATGACTGTCGCTGCTTCGAACCCTCTCAGAAATCTCAGACCCAGTCACGATTGAAATTTTTATGTAAGGTCCGAATGAAATTTTAGGGAAGAAAAATTTTCATTTTCAGCTTACCTTTGCACTATTGATAATTACGAATTCTAGACTATTTAAATTTGCATCTGGGGCTCTAAGCTGGTGTATTATGTATAATAAATATATATAAACTCACACTGGACTTGGAAGAAGAACATAAAATTGATGTTGATAGCGGAAAACGAAGGTGGGCGACCAACCACGACAACTCGCCAGTGAAGGAAACCAGAGAGGTGGGATGCAGTTTCTCGCCATCATCGCCTTCGTCTACTACTGGAAGTTACCAAGAGAGAGAGAAAAGGTTGCCAGCCCGCTGTCCAAGTCATCGGTGGTAGTCGGATTGCCAAGCGAGGGAGGGAGATGGAAGCCGATACGGAGGGTAGCGTGGTGGCTGCGTTGGTTGCTCGCCATTCTTTCTGAGCTTCTTTATAATTTCATCAATTTTGCCTGTTTATGTCTTTTCTTTCTGAGCTTCATTATAATTTCATCAATTTGATATCTTTTCTTTCTGAGCTTCTTTATAATTTCATCAATTTTGCCTGTTCTAATGTCTTTTCTTTCTGAGCTTCATTATAATTTCATCAATTTGATGTCTTTTCTTTCTGAGCTTCTTTATAATTTCATCAATTTTGCCTGTTCTAGTGTCTTTTCTATCTTAGCTTCTTTATAATTTCATCAATTTTGTCTGTTCTGAAGTCTCTTTTGAAGATGGCAGTGACGGAGGTGGAGGTCACGATAGTTGTGGCGGTGGATGTGGTTGGTGAGATTGTGGTGCATGCCGGCGATCTTCGGTTTTTCCAGCGAGCTGACCGTCGGTGTCGGTTGGATTACTTTAGTGGCGACGCAAATGGATCCCTCCGGTTGCATGGATCCGAATCGGATCACCCCAGCGCTGATGGTGGGTTCAAGTTCTTCTTGAGAGCCAGCATCACAGAGACTGCGTACAAAAAAATTTGGGAAAAATCAACAATAACATTAATATTGGGTTGAATTGACTGAGATACCCCTACATTAACGCTCAGTTGACGAAAAATCTAACGGAGGACCAATTTGGGATAATTTACAAGGGACCACATTGGGTGCAATTGAAAGTTGAACTGTAAAATTGAGAATGAGTGATAGTCAAGGGACCATTTTGGAACAAAAAAAAAAAAACCTTTGTAAAAATTTAACAAGTGTGGATGTCCGGATTACTGGAAATGGCGAATATAATCCTACTGATCCATTCCTGTCTCTTCCTAAAAATACGACTACTTATTAGGTGGAAAGGAATCTTCAGACTAGAGCTAGAAGCGGATCGCTCCCTCCGCTGCCACGTCGGACCAATCATTTCAACGCTTTCACAAACTCTGTGTGGCTCAAGGATAAACACAACACGCAATACGCCAGGTGTCTGCGCTCTAACTTACACCGCCTCTGCTGCTAACCTGAGCCGCCTTTCCTCTTTCTCCCTTAGCTTCCTCCACACAACCAAACCGTTTCCCTCCATCTCCCTCCGTCTTCAGCTCTCCAAGTTTCGTGTCCATACACGCGCGTAGTCGAGATCTCAGAGAACCGTCAGATGTATGTGCTCGGAGAGAGATGTGAATCATGGCGTCGTCAACCGCTCTGAAAGCCAATCTCTCTGCGTCGTCTCCTCTCCAACGCTCTCTGGTACCCCTCTCTATATATATATATATATATATATATGTGTGTGTGTTTTTTTTTTTTTTTTTTTTTGAATCTATGGAGTATTCGTTTCTCCGTAACTGTACAGCAAACATTAGTGGTGTGTTACTTGTAGCAATTTTGGTTTTTCCCTCGTAGATTGATGCTGGAACTTTTTATCTGTTAATAATCTTGTACTCTGTATTTTTTGGCATGGGATATTAGGATGAAATTATTAATTAACATTGGATTAATTCAAGGACTATTCAGTAAATGAGTTGATTTTAGGATTTTTTAAAGCAAGGAAAAGTTGGAAATTAGTTTGATGAGGAGTTAACCCTACCTTTTGTTTGGAGTTAAGTAGTTATCCCTACTTAAGGTTCTAGATGGTTTTCTTCTTTGATTTTTTTTTTTTTTTTTTTCTGCTTTTAGTCACACAACTATTGTACCTCTTCTATATTTGATTTTTTATTATTAATTTTTCACTTTTAGATAATTAGAGTAGACATGACTATCAAGTTCTGCTATATTTAAACTTTTAGTCCTCTGGTCAATCTTTTCTCCAATCTTGTTTGATTTTCATAACATTAACTCCAAAATGACTATATTATACTATGTCCTCTACATGTTGCTTAAATTCAAATAATATAACTGTCACGTGGAATATTTCAGCTAAGGTTGGTAGAAAAATAAATATAAAGGACCAAATGCACAAGGAATTTGATAGTCATGCGCCTAATGTGAAAAAATTGATAGCTAAGGACCAAATGTGGGAGATGTACAATACGAATGGGACCAAAAGTGGAAAAATAAAAACTCTTTTTTGGTGTGGGGTCCGGGGGAGCACATAGAGAGATTTATTTTAATCATTATTACTTTTGTCCATATATGGTAATGATGATGTGAATTTGTGATATGCTTGAAAAGCTACTAAATTAGCAGTAAGTGACTGCATTTGTCAAACAAGTTTGTTCAGTGGTCAGAAGCTAACTGTAGTTTGGCTTTTACTGATATATGGAAGTTTTGGTTTTGCTTCATTTGGTGATGAGAAGTTTAAGCTGATATCTATGGTGCAGCAGCAAATAAAGTATTACAATACCCTTTTCTTTTCTTCCCATTCCAATGAAAATGATGGCTAAGCCCATTTTAAGCTTGTTAAAATGTGAGATAACAGTTTCTAATCCACATGATAAATCAAAGACCTAAATCCTATCCATAATGTTAAAGAGTTGGTGCACCAGCCAGTAAACTCTCACAAAACCCTTTTCTCCCATACCAATGAGAATGAGTACTAAACCCACTGTAAGCTTGTTGTAATGTCAGATAATTTTTCCAATCCACTGGATAAAATGAATAGACTGAATCCTGTTAATGGTGTTAAAGAGCACTGAGTGCTTCTTCTATTTGCCTCTAAGCTTGTCAAGGTAGCTTACTGTAATTCCAAACTTGGTGATGGAGAAAATTGATTTCTCCATAGATAAAAGATGAATGATATAAGGTGTCTGCATGGAAATAAATAAGTATGACACAAGATTTAATGTGGAAACCAAAACGGTAAAAACCACGGGCCTTTTTAGGCTAAGCCAAGCCAAGCCGAAATTCTTCATTATGTATACTGTGGGTACATGTACATAGGAAACCATGATAATGGAATAGAAAGGAGGAAAAAGATTATACTAAAAGAGTTGTTTTCCCCGTCCCTTTGTCTGATTCTCAGGCTCCTTTAACAACCCATATATCTCTCATCTGATCTTTGACTAATACGGAGTATTATTTATAAGTTATAACACTGGAATATTATTCCATCAGCTGGGAAAGACTGTTGTGTCCCTTTAGAGCCTCTATTTCTAATTCAATTCTTTAGTTGAAGCAGTAGAAGTGGTCACAAAAAGGGAACATAGTGATAAAAAGTTTAGTGGCCTAGTGGGAATGTTGATCTGTGATACTGGCAAACTAAAAAATTTGAATGCTTGATGGTATATTTATTTTATATTTATATATGCAAGGGATAAGTGAGGACTAAACACCTTAGAGAATAGAGAGTTAGAGTGGTGGAAAGCATTGTATTTTCAAACTTATAAGCTTATGGGAAACTATGCGTCACATTTTATTTCGAGACCTGAAGATGGTAGAAATAATATATAATATGCAGAATGTGGTGCATTATTTTGATCTTTTGGCATGTGATTTTTGCCCTCCTGTTTTCTTAGGTAAGAACTATTACAATAGATTTTCTCTGTAAAACAAGGTTAAACAAGGAAGAAATAATAAGGAAATCGACTTTAAGATGTGAAGGAAGAAGTATTGACATTTAGGCTATATTACAGGAAATATTATGTGAGATTCTCCATGCACCATGCTAGTTTAGTAGTTATTTTTATTGGAGTAAAAAGAATACAACCTTGAACATCTTATTTATTCCAGCATTCTTTCATACTTCCCAGGTTGAATTTCCTTTCATGTATATACTAGACATCATCTTTTACCTATGTTTGGAAGACTGGGATTCTAGTTGTAGAAAAGACGATGAAAATCTAAGCAAATTTAGTTCATACCCCTTTAAGCTTTTGTTATATGTTGACTGTCCTCCCTATTTCCATGCAGATATGTAATATCAGGCCCAAATTCAAGCATAAGAGATTAGTTTCTATTGCAGTAAATAAAAGAAAAGGCCCATTCTCATTGACTGTGAGGTCTGTCTTGGACAGCAAGAAGTCAATCATTAATGGTAATGGGGCCACTGAGTCTGCAGGGATTCTTTTGCAAAGGTTGTTTGCCGAGAAACAGAAACTAGAAGAACAGATAGGCAGAGATCCAAATCTAGCTCAGGTTGCTGAATTTGGGCAGAACCTTGGCAAGCTTGAGTCTGATTTGCAGGCTGCTCTGGTATTCTTGAAGAAGAAGGAAGAGGATCTACAAGATGCCGAGAGAAAAGTGCTGCTGGAGTACAATGAATTAAGTCGTGCAAGAGTGGAGTTAGAGAACCGAGAGGAAGAAATTGCTGCTGCTAGTTCTAAGCAGGAAAAACTGGAAGATGAACTACGACTGGCTAATCTTTCTCTAGCCTCTCGAGCTATGGAAATCGAGGATCTAAAGTTTCGTCTCAAGGATAGAGATCATGAGATTGCTGCTGCCCAGATGGCTTTATCGTTGAAAGAGGGTGAACTAAACAAAATGAAGAATGATTTGATAAAGAAGAGCGAGGAAGCTGCCAATGCTGAATCAGAACTTAGATCCAAGTCTCAGCTTCTTGATGAAGCAAATGACATCGTCAACAGACAAAAGGCTGAAATTCAAGATCTCCAGATGATGATTCAAGAGAAAGAGAAAGAGTTAAACGTTTCTTTGATGATGCAGAAAACTGAAGAGGATAATCTTAAAGTTTCTGAGGCCAATTTGGAAAAACAGACCATAAAATGGCTTGTAGCACAGGAAGAGTTGAAGAAATTAGCAGAGGCAACATCAAAGCATAGTGGTGAAGGAAATGAAACGTTCGAGGATTTTAGAAGAGTGAGAAGGTTTCTTTCTGATGTTAGGTCTGAGTTGCTATCATCACGGCAAGCCCTGACTTCTTCAAGGCAGAAAATGAAAGATCAGGAAAGACTATTAGAAGAGCAGCTGAAAGAACTTGATGAACAAAGGAGTGGTGTCATGTCTTACATGACAAACTTGAAAGATGCTCAAATTGAGGTAGAGAGTGAGAAGCAGAAACTCAGTCTCGCTGAGGCTCAGAAAAAAGTACTTGAAAGGGATTTATCCCGTGAAAAAGAGCTCGTTCAAGAGTTGCAGAATGAATTGAATAAAGAGAGATCATCTCTACAAGAAGCAATTGAGGAGATGTCTTCTATGCAGCGGGAGCTAGACCTAAAGAAGACGCAATTTGTGGAAGTTCAGAATCTTCTTCAGGTTAAAGAGTCAGAATTAGTAGAAGCGAGATTAGAGATTCAGCACTTTAAGTCTGAGCATGCCTCTCTTCAGCTTATGTTGGAAGAAAAAGATTCAGAACTATTAAACACGAGAAAAATGTTTGATGAGCTAAAACGGGAGATCACTGAACTAAGGATGCTTTTGAAAAGTAAAGAAGACAAACTAATACAGGCAACGACTGTGCTAAAGGAGAGAGACGAAGAAGTCCAGACAATGCACCATGAATTAAAGGACACTAAACTAAAATTTTCAGAAGCTGAAACCGTTGTTGAGCGCATCTTGGAGCTGACAAACAAACTGGTTATTTCCAGTAAGGACGATCAATGTGATTTGTTGACCCAAGTCAGTGACATTGATCGGAATCACTTGCCCCAGCTACTGGAGAAACCTGCAAATAGTTTTAAGTGGCAGAAAAGGCATCTCGAAAATGAGCTTGAACTTACCAGGGAAAACCTCAGGACTAAAGATATGGAAGTTCTTGCAGCACAAAGATCTCTTAAACTCAAGGAGGAGGAGCTCAAATTGGCTCTAGAAAAATTGGATGCTCGAGAGAAGGAACTAAGAAGAATGAAGGACGAAATGACACAAGAAAGTGATGAACTGAAGCAGCTTTACACTTTGGTGCAGGAAAGAGTCGGTGAAGGGAGCCAAGGAGACCTTGCAGTTGATAAACTTCAGCTAGAAGCAGCTCAACTCGAAGTTGAAGCTGCAACTAGCGCCCTGCAAGTGCTCTCAGAAATGAGTCGGGATCTCTTGAGTAAAGCCAGCTCGAGTCTTGACACCGACTATTCTGGTAACGGTTCACTGCACCATACCTCTGAATCTAATCCAATTCTAATCAACAATAGCGAGTGTCTTGCTGAAGTTCATGCTGAAGTTGCTCAGCTTTCAGCTCTGACAGAGCAGCTTGTACGAGAGGCAGGTATTTTAGGTAAAGTGCACTAATAATAGAGGCAATAGCATCCATCCTGGTTACTTCTTTGTGTATATATCTATGGTTAGCACATATGCATGGAGTTTTCCTTTTGTAGTTTTTGAATGCAGTCTTGTTTGCTATTATGCCACTTGACATACTTTATTTTGTTCCTAGTTTGAGGTGCCTGATTATATCATACAAGAAATAACGTTCAAGTATTTTAGCTCCAATATGTGACAATCAACGACAATTATGTTGAAGAATTTTCTTGCAAGGCTCTAGGAGCAGGGTTCTCTGGGCTTAGGCTTAGTTTGCGAAGCTGGGATCACATAAGTTTAATAAAAAAAAAAAAGGATTTTCTAGTCAGCAATAAAAACTTTTATCACTATATATATATATATATATATATATATATATATATATATATATATACACACTCAAAAAGTACTGAAAAGAGTTACTCCTACTACATATCTACACTTTCTATATACACTCACAAAACTTTACCTTTTGGGGGGGGGGGGTGTCGGTTACGCGGATTACCAATCATTATTGTGTGGATTATTGTTCACACAATTATGTAGACTATAATATACATTTGGTATACAAATAATGTATTTTTAGTATATTAAAAATGTATATTATATTCAGAAAAAGTACATTATTTGAGTATTAAAAATATATTATATTTTTAAAAAAAAAAATACATTATTTTGTATATATACATTCAGTACACAAATAATGTACTTTTAGTATATTAAAAATGTATTTTTTATTATGATTTACATAACACTATTTGGATCATGATCCATATAATAATTTGCCGCGGGCTACCGAAATGCTAAGTAAATCCTTTCATTATTTTGTATGAAATAATATGAAAAAGTTTAAAACTTGATTTTTTACAAAACAAATTTCAACATTTCAGTTCATCATTTTTGTTCATTGAGCAGAACCCTAGAAATTTATTCATATTACTAAATTAATCCTTGCCCCTTTGTGTTTACTATAGAAATTAGAAATAATGATGAGGAAATCAAAGGGCACGTTTACCTCAAATTTTAAAATTTTTATTCGCAGTTTTATATTTTCCAATATAAAAATGTGTTAGAGGTATTTCCTTTCCCGTGTGTTTGGTTGTATTTTGTAAAACCTGCTGTGTTTAGTTTATTTTTTGAAAAAATGAGCAGAATTATATATTTAAACATTTTGGCGGAAGCCATTTTTCACCAAAATAGCTTCATTTTTCTCGGTCAACGAAAAATATTTTCCGTTGACTGGATTTTCCTATTGCATCCAAACACTGAAAATTCAGAAAATATTTTTCAAAAGTCATTTTTCGAGTTTTCAAACGGACCCAATTCTCAGTTTTGTGATTCCCAACAATAATAATAAGAAAACCCTATTATATTATAAAATTAATTACAAATTTAAAAGTTTGAGTTATTTTTTTATATTTGATATTTTTGAAAATGTTCTATTTGAATGAAATATATACAATTTTTTTTCTTTTCGATCTAATATAGATAAATTTAATAATACCTTATATTAAGGCTAAAATTATGTCCATATATACCATAATTAAAAAAATTTAAACTAATAATCTATAATTTCACCTAGATGAAGCATTTGAGAGGATGCAAATTACGGTGGCTCAGCAGACAGAGCCAAATACCGGTGTAAAAGGGATATGATCACTTTAAACATAATCCTCACAATGTCGCCGTCGAGGTTCGAATCTTGATCTCTTCTCCCAAATACTATTTACTGAATCATTGAACTAAACCCGTGCGGGTAAAATATTCATATCCTAATGTTATTGCAAGTTATTATTATTATTATTTTTATTATTATTATTTCACTTTTTATTTCTGCTATTTAATTATTTATGTATTGCAAAAAGTGATTTAGAAGTTATTAAATATATTTTTAAAAAAAGTTGACTGTATAGCATACACTTTAATGTCTATGATACTATACAAGATTATGATTTTTAGTGTATTTGGTCTTGTCGAATGAACCTTTTTTTTTTTTTTTATGGGAGAGGCACTCCAAAGTTACATTGGGAAATCTAAGCCCCTACCAGAGCTTATAAGACTGTGGAATCTGTGTACTGGTTATTAAATTACCGTAATTTACTTCCTTTCACAGTTTCACATGTTTTATTCAGTCGGCGTGTGGGACCCTTAGGGTTGGAGATTCAGCCTTTTAGGAAAAAAATATTAGAATTTTTAGTACTTGCATAGGCTTAGTTCAATAGTTCAGTAGACAGTATTTGAAAAAATTGACTAATGTTTGAACTCCGATAGTAACCAATGTGTGGATTATGTCTAAAGTGGACAGATTTCTTGTGCCCACCGATATTATTTTGTTAAAATGGATGGTCCATGTGGTTAGTAATAGAAAGTTGAAGGGATCCAAGTGCAATTGTCATTTTCCTTTTATACTTTTTCGAGATGTGGGTTTTGCTTGACAGCCCAGAAGCATAGAAGATCGGGCACCGGTGAGTCAACTCGGGCCCAAATTCAGCTTTCTTTCACTCACCGAAACACAGCACGTTGATCACCAATCATACTACCCATCTCTTTAACACCTCCTTTTTCTCTGTAAAATTCAAACTGCTCTATACATATTAAATTCCGCCAAACAATCAAACCCTACCTCTATATATCATGTATATCTGCATCTAATCATATATTTTGAGAGGGAAATATGGCGATACTGTATGCGTTGGTGGCTCGGGGATCGGTGGTGCTGGCGGAGTACAGCGCCACGCCGACCAACGCCAGCGCAATCGCCAGGCAGATACTGGAGAAGACGCATAGCGACAGCGACAGCAACGTTTCCTACTCTCAGGATCGCTATATTTTCCACGTCAAACGCACCGATGGCCTCACCGTTCTCTGTATGGCCGACGACGTCGCCGGAAGTAAGTCAAACCTAAAAACCGCTATTTTCTTAGAATAATAAGAAATTGCTTTCTGATTTGGTTTTGAAATTGATCGCAGTTCTTTTTTACTTAGTTTTGGATTTTTCTTAACTTAATTTCGTTTTCAAGCGAATTTGGACTTGATGTTGACGAGTTGGGAGAAGTCTGATTTGAGTTCCACTGCGATTTTGTAGTTTTAAGTTAGATATTTGGTTTCTATATTCGTGTATATGAATTTTGGCTTGCTACAAAAAGCAATATATGGAGTAATGCTTTAAGGATCAAAGGATCAATTTAATTGTCATATTACACATGGAGAATTTTAGATCCAACACCGAATGTTCACATTTTGCACCATAGTTGGACTCCAAAGCATAGTGTGTGGATAGGATGTGTTTTCTTTCTTCCTTCAATGTTCATTTTTATTTGACTTCATGTAGGTTTTAGGGTGCAACCTGCAATTACTCTGAAATGAACATAGAGTTCAATTGAAATGTACATAAAGTTCATATGAAATGAACTTCCAAAGTTCCAACTCATTTGAGAATGAACATGAAGCTTGAAAATAGAATCTAAATTTCAACTGAAAAGAACCTTCTTTACAATAGAAATGAGCATGGAGTTTAATCAATTGAACATTATGCACTTGAACATAATTACATGAGCATGTGTGCTCAAATGTCATCATTCATTTCTTAGCCCGGAAGCTTCATGCATTTTGCTCTTGGAGCTAGTGTCTTACAGTTGAAACTTGAAGCATGGTGGGTTTGAATCTCTTAGCTGTAGTGAGTTAATTGGTATTTTTGTTCCTTTTAGGGTTGCAGTGAGGAATATGGGACATGAAAATATAGTAATGGAATTGTTAGGTTTGGGGGTGAGCTAAAGTAGAGCATGTTACTTTGTCTATTCTTCTGAATGATATTTGCATTGGCAGTTTTCTAACTTTCTTTGGTTAGAGTTGGAGCAAAAGCTTGAACTGCTAAATACAGTACTTTTATATTTTAATAAACCAAATTGGAACATAAGCAAGATTTAAAACCCTTCTTATTTCTAAAACTCAAAGTACTATAGTTCTTATTCAGTCGTTAAGTTAAAGAGGTGTACATTATTGGTTACATGCCAGATTACATACAAATGGGAATACTTCCAGTTAGATTTAACTAAAAAATAAATTATGAGAACCCAAATTTTATTCATTCTACCTTTTTATTGAATGAATAAATTCTGGATTTACCTCACAATTAGTCCAAATCTTTCCAAATTAACTCTTTATGAACTATAATTTTGAGTTGGACTATTTCCTACTAGATCCAGATGAGTGAGAATACCTATATCGTTAATTATCCATGGAAGTCATTGCTTTTCATTGTTTGAGAGGTCCTTAAGATATTTTCCCTTAAGTGGTGTTCACCTTCCATCTCACTGTTGCATTATTGCTATTACTGTGTTTCTGTCTTCAATTCAATCATCACGTTCTACATCTGTCTTAAGGTATGTAGAGTGTAGACATTATAGAATGGCCATTGCATACATATAATATTTATTTTGGCCTATTTTCTTGCAGGAAGAATTCCCTTTGCTTTCCTTGAGGACATTCATCAAAGATTTGTGAGGACATATGGCAGAGCTGTACTTTCAGCACAAGCATATGCTATGAATGATGAATTCTCCAGAGTCATCAGCCAACAAATGGAATATTACTCGAATGATCCAAATGCAGACAGAATAAACAGGCTAAAAGGTGAAATGAGTCAGGTAAGTTCTGAAATGTTTCGTTGAACTATCACCTCAAAACCTTTTTTGCTTTCTAATTTGCTAACATTATTTTTAATACATTCTTGTTTATGCATCTTCTTTCTTTCTGATTGTAAATTTCTACCTAGTGGTTAAGTATAGTTTAAGATGATTAGATCCCCCCTCATTATATTCACCATATGTGCATTAAATCAGTTGCTTAATTTATACTCTTCTTATAATCTCCATATCTACAAGTTTGTCTGACCAAACCAGTTTTCTTCCCTTGGCCATGTAATAGGTGCGTAATGTCATGATAGAGAATATTGACAAAGTTTTAGACAGAGGAGACCGTTTGGAGTTGCTTGTTGATAAAACTGCCACTATGCAAGGGAACACCCTTCGCTTCAGGAAGCAGGCCCGACGATTTAGAGGCAGTGTATGGTGGAGAAATGTGAAGCTCATGTATGCTACTTAATACTCTTCTCCAACCCCCCACCCCCATACACACACACACGCAAACACAAAGACACACACACCACACACCCTCCCTCCCTAACTTTCACTCCTAAGTCACTTCCATTGGTCAACCATAGGGTGTTGTGTATCAAATCTATGTCACACAGTCAACCTGATTATCTGTATTGTAACTGTGTTACGGCCAAAATTAAAATTAATGGCTTCTTAGATTTTAACTTCTGGTTACAATCTTCAAGGCTTATATCTAAATTCTACTGACATTTATTTGGGCCTTTTACTTGAGATCCAATTAGGCTGGCAAATTGTTAATACAAAATAATCACTCCATGCTGATGCAGCTTATTAAATGTCGTATTAAGCTCTCACTCCTTTCTCCTTTGTACCCATGTAGGCTTAATTCAGCGAAAATGTCACTTATTCTAAATTTAAGCATTTTACTAATTCTAGTTGATTTGCAGTTATTATGTTAAGAATTACTTCACTCATTTTTCTCTGCATTGAACCTTGAATATGCTGGTTGATGCTTTGCAGAATTGCGCTGATAGTCCTTCTCCTGGTGATAGTTTATGTCGTTTTGGCCTTCGTCTGTCATGGCCTCACACTCCCATCTTGTCTGAAGTGAGAATCAGCATCTAGTGTACACAACAGCTATTCCTGGCTCTATTGATTGTTTTGCATATGTGTGAATTTTTATTTTATTTTATCAATTTCTGCTGAACTTCTTGTGTTCAGAAAAAAAGGAGTTAATGATTCTTGTTATTGCAAGGTGTCCAGGGGTGGGGGACGGGGGGTGTGAAGAAAGAAAAGTATTTTGTGCATGTATTTCGGGTTTCAAAAAAATCTGTAGTAACTGAAAATGCTATTATACAGGCAATGTGTTATTAATCCTCTGGATTGATCACTCGACGAGTTGAGTTTGTTATTCCACGACAGTTGAATTGCCAAGTTCTTGAACACTGTTGTATAAGTGTTTAATTGTAGATGATTGTAGGGTTTGATGCATGAATTTGAGGGTATATTAGTATCTCTTTTCTTAGACATACAGCTAATCAAGTGGTGCAAGGCCACCGGTTTAATGCATTCTTATTGAATTGAAACGAGAACGTGTTACAAGCTCGATGAAGTACTACAACATATGGTCGGTACAAGATTTGGTAGAAAAGATATAAATAGCGTTGTCTTTTTCAAGAGTTATCAATTTTTATCTCTAAATTTCAATTGGATCATAAGTGTTTGGCATTTACTAATTTTTATTATTGAATTTCAATTTAAATCTAAATTTTCTCTTAACTATTAGTTTTATTTCAAATTTGATCCAATTAAATATCTATTTAGTAAACACTAAATTTAAAAGCAATAATATAAAAATTGACTTTTGTTAAGATTATTATATTTGATTCGTCACTAGTGGAAATATGAAAAATTAAAATTCTACATTGTCATTCTTAAATTTAATATTTATTGAAATAATATTTAATTGAAGGAGTAAATTTAAAACAAAATCAATAGTCTAAGAATGAGTTAATACTTAAAATGATCTTTAACTATTAGCTAATACTCGATTCGATTTTGTCCTGAAGAATTAAAAGTATTCAATTTAGTCCTCTTAGTTTTCAATTCACTTACAATTGCCGTTTATCCACCGTTATTTTGAGGGTAAAAATGTCAATTTACTTGGTCCAATCTGTTTCTTCCTCTTCTGGTCAACGTCCATGGAGGCCCTCCTCCACGCTATCCACGCTTCTACTGCCCAGCCACCTCTACGCCTTCAGAACCTCCGTTTGTTTCTTTGAGAATTCCTACTCAGTTGAACACTCTATCGCGACTTCAGAACCTCTGTCGCCCCTCCGCCTCCTTCAGTCACCAGTCGCCGATGAGTGGTAGGTCCACTGATTCACCCGACATCATCATCCAAAATATTCGACAGATGTTGGGAAGGTTACTCGCGAAGGCTATGTCTTCTTCCAGGAGGCGATTGGTTGTATTCTCGCCGGTGAACCACTGCCTAGGCCATCCAGAGCCTTCGTCAAGCCTCCCCCAGGTCATCGCCATCATCAATTGAGTGATCGGCCGACCCCTGAGACCAATCGCGATCGGAGATGGTGGAAATTCCGGCGACTCAGCCACTGCATGGGGAATCGGATGGTAGGGTTGATGTTGGGGAGGGGTTGCAATCAACTGGCTCTGGTTTGATTGACGATCGACGTCCACCAATTTGCGAGAACCGGCGTCCACCATGTCCCAGAATTTGCGAGAACCGGCGATTGCGTCTGGTACTACAGTCTATTGCACGGCTGTAATCCACGAGCGAGCCCGTGACGAGGAAGCCATCGCCGTTTCTACAGCAGTCCAAACGGCCATGGAGGTATTCCTTCCTACTTCCGGTGGCGTGGGCCTCGGTGTGGTGGAGGCTTCTTGTTCGCTGAGATCGACGGAGATGGCGATCTTCCTTTGCGCCCCGAAGATGGGCGTCCCGGAAGGAAAGCGAGGGGAGGTTGGCTGGTGCATGATCGCCGTCGGTGGCCACTTAGGCGACACCATCGCAGTATTTCTATCTCTATTGTGTAGAAACCAAACAAACGATAAGGAATTGGGACGCTGAGGAATTGAGAAATACGATGATGATGATGATGATGTTTTGATTGTTTGTTTGATTCGGGTGTTCTTCGTGTTACAACGACGATTTTCCGAGTATACGATGGTGGCGTTACGCCGACGGCGTCGTTTGGCTAGATTAGGATCCCCTAAGCTCTTGCAGCTTCTATCAACAGAGGGTGGAGATAGATGAGACCGACGTCGTTACATTAATATGGTTTAACAACTAAAATGACGGTATTGTCCTTCAATTTAACCCATATTAATGAAAATTCTAACACCAGACTACATTGAGTACCGTTTGAAAACTAAGAGGATTAAATTGAGTACATTTAATTCTTTAGGACAAAATCGTGTATTAGCTAATAGTCGGAGGGCTATTTTGGGTAGAGTTAATACCCAAAATCGTCCTCGACTATAGTGGTTTTTCTCAATTTCGTCCTAAACGACTTTGGTGACCTAATATCGTCCCAGACTTTTGTGTTTCGCTCAATTTAGTCCCAGACTTTTGTGTTTTTGCTCAATTTAGTCCTTCATTTGTTATTCTGTCCATTTGGTGTTAAATAAATAGACAATTCAGTAATTTTAATATTGGCATCTCTTTACTCATAGACATGTGAACTGCGAAATTCTTTTTTTTTTTTTACGAATTACTCCCAGAATTACTCCTAAAACTGCGAATATAAAATTTGATTTGCAGGTCCGGGAGTAATTCTGGGTGTAATTCGTACAAGAAAGAGGAATTTCGCACTTCACAAGTTGAAAGTAAAGAGAGATCAATATTGACATTACTGAATTGTCCTTTATTTAACATCAATTTGACGGAATAACAAATGGAGGACTAAATTGAGCGAAACACAAAAGTCTGGGACGATATTAGGTTACCAAAGTCATTTAGGACGAAATTGAGAAAAACCACTATAGTCGAGGACGATTTTGGGTATTAACTCATTTTGGGTATTAACTCGTCTAAGGATTATCAAATTTAAAGGTAATAATTAAAATTGATAAAAATCAATATTTAAGACTTAAGACCTAAGGAAATATTTATAATTCAATTGAAAGTCAAAGATACATACAGATTGGTAAATGTCAATAGTGAGATCATTCTTAAAATTCTCTCTTTTCAAAATTAAGAAATTCAAAGCTAGCAAATCAGGTTTTGCAGTTTAAACTACTAATCCAGTTAACATTCTAAATCCCAATCAGCCTATGATGTACATAAAAACATATATATACACATTGTATACAAAGTTGTCACCTTTTTAGTGTTAGAATACATCAGTTGTGAATTGTGAAAGTCAGACCAAATTGTCTTGTACAACCGAAAACTTGTTCAATAAAGTTTCCAGTTCCTGCAAAACAGCCTGGTAATGTTCTTGTGATTGTGTCCCTTCTTCAACAACTTGAAGGGCGCGTCCATAAAGGCTAGTATACAATTTTGCAGGGTCATCCAGATCAATATCACTCAAACCGAAATCACCCGGAAACTTACGCTTAAAATCTCGATGCCAACGGGGTAGGATATACTGCGACGGGATTTCTTCCACGCCATTGTAGTTAAGGACATTCAATGCGTGCCTGCACAAGTAGCCTTTGAAATTGAACAGACTGCATATGCAACGCACTTCCATCCGTGTTGTCTCATAAAGAACCTCGTACTGCCTCACCTCCTTCACGCCTCCTTCAGCTTCGACGCGTTCTTTCACAACAAATGTCATTATTGGCCCGTTAACGCTCACTTGCCTTGTGTGGAAGCAAGAGAACATTCCTTCGACTTCGGTTTGGAAATTCTTGAATACGTCCTTCGTGTACACCTTCGAGAGCTGCAATTCGAAATTGCACTTCGTCTTCAATTCAAAGACGGGGTTTCTGGACTCGTGATCTGCCATTGCTTCCTGTAGATGCTTTCTCTGCAACGCAAGATCATACCTGTCGACGAATTCCTTAAATGTGGTGTGTTTATGCACATAGCCATCGAAAAATGCACCAAGGCTCTCGTTTTCTTTGATGGGGATCATTCCAACGGAAAAAACATCTTTCAAGTAGACTGGGACCCATTTATGCCGATCCTCGTACAACAACTGAAGCCACTTATTGTCATTGAGCCCATGCTGGACAATCATTTCTCTCCAGAAACTCTCAAACTCAACTATTTTCAACGAACTATAAACTGCTTTATTTAGTTGCCTTTTAATCAACTCATACCCTTTCAATCCTCCCAGTTTCTCGGGAACACGCCGCATGATATAGGACAGACAATAACAATGGCGAGCTTGCGGGAAAACCTCAGAAACTGCTGTCTGCAAGGGTTTGGACTGATCGGTAATGATAACCTGTGGATGCCTCCCTAGCATAGATGTGAGCCATGACTTGAACATCCAAACAAAGTGCTCTACTGATTCATGTCCAAGGAAACCGCATCCTAGTAAGACAGACTGCCCGTGATGATTCACTCCGATGAAAGAAATGAGCGGGATCTCGTATTTGTTTGTCAGGCTTGTTGTATCGATCGCAATTATGTCAGAGAAGTAGTTATAAGCAGCTCTGGACCTAGCATCGGCCCAGAACACATTTCTAAGGTGTCCTTCGTCGTCAAGATCCATCAAATAAAAGAAGTTTGGATTTGTCAACTTCATGCGACAGAAATAGTTATACACTGCATGGGAATCCCCGTCTTTAAGCTCCAAATGCTTCGACAGATTAACAGGGTTTCCAGCATCTCTTTCATTCACTTCTGGATAACTGTCACCCGGAGCATCAATAACATCTGTACGGTATAACTTAATAGTATGTACTTCTGTAACAGGCTTCGACTGACCCATTTGCTTCGCTGCAAGAATCATTTTCTTATGTGACTTGTAAAAACGCTTTATTTCTGGGTTCACTGGGTGATTGTGTTGAAGTTCAACTTCAACGATTCTCCACCTTTTGGAGTCCACAAGTTTAATGACTATCATTGCAGGACAGCCGGTCCTGGTTTCAGGTCGGGGATGATTTGCCCCGCTTTTTTTCTTGAAACCAGCATTGCTACAGCTAAGTTTTGCTCTATACCGTTCTTTCCTTTTTGATCTGAACCATGAGTTACTCACTCTTATTCCAAAGCCTTGTTCCTTAGCATAAACGTTATAGAAATCATAAGCTTCATCAAACGACACAAATTCCAAACCCACCGTGGGTAGTGGTGGCATCTGTGTTTCATGAATTCCATTTTCGTGTTCCACTAAGGTGCACTCTCCTTCATCTTCATATTCATCACCATCCTCGAATACTGGTTTGCTGTTTAGAGAAACTGCCTCCATCTGAAATACAAATTGAAACCAGATGGAAATGTTATTGGCTAGAAATAGAATAAGAATTG